TCTCTATGCACCACATTTGTGCTTGACCCCTGGGAGGCCAGAGGAGAGTGTCGAACCCGCTGGAGCTGGAGTCACAGGCTGGGAGCCACAGTGTTATACTGAGACCAAACCCCGGGCCTCTGCAAGAACAAGACCTCTCACCACTGAGCCATCTTCCCAGCACCAAGAACCACTACCTTTGAAGTTGCATTTTACCAAGTTTCCTTTTTCTCAAATTATATTTATTTCACAAATGGTATTTTTTTTTTCTTTTTGGTTTTTCGAGACAGGGTTTCTCTGTGTAACAGCCCTGGCTGTCCTGGAACTTACTATGTAGACCAGGTTGGTCCAAACTCACAGAGATCCACCTGCCTCTGCCTCCTGAGTGCTGAGATTAAAGGAATATATACCACTGCCCAGCTTTTTAAAATTTTCCTAATTCACCAAAACAAAAAGTACAGGATATTATATCACCTCCCAGGGATTTTATTTTTATTCATCTGCAAAATGATGAAGCCTAGGAACCACTGTGCTCCTTGGCATGTCACATAGAACAGCAGAAGTTTCACACACGTGGAAATCAAGTACACCTTTGGAAGGTAGATCTCTGGGAGTTCGAAGTCAGCCTGGTCTATAAAGCAAGCTCCAGGACAGCCAGGGCTGTTATACAGAGAAAACCTATTTTGAAAAAACACACACACACAAAGCAAACAAATGGTCCCCATAGTGAGTGTCACTGTTAGGAGGTGTGGCTTGTAGCAGTAGGGATGGCCTTGTTGGCTGAAGTACATCACTGGGGTGGACTTTGAGGTCTCAAATGCTCAAGTCATAGCTGGGAGGTGGTGGTGCATGCCTTTAATCCCAGAGGCAGGTGATCTCTGAGTTCGAGGGAGGCCTGGTCTACAGAGGGAGTTCCAGAACAGCAGGGCAACACAGAGAAACCCTTTAGACACAAAAACGAAACAAATAAACAAAAAACGCTCAAGCCAGGCCCAGGGTCTCTTCCTGCTGCCTTTGGATCTGGATGGAGAGCTCTCGGCTCCTTCTCCAGCACCGTGTCTGCCTGCACGCCGCCATGCCCTGCCATGCTGACCATTGACTAAGCCTGTGAAACTGTAAGCCAGCCCCAGTTAAATGTTTTATTTCACGGGAGTTGTCATGGTCACGGGGTCTCTCCACAGCAACACAACATCGACTAAGACAACGGGCAGGGATGAAAGGAGAAGGGAAGGACACTCTCCCCCTGCCACTGTGAGAACAAACTGCCCTCGATCTCCCGTTCCCGCTGCCACTATGTTCTGTGTGAGAAAACCACCAAGCAGACAAGACCCAACTCCCGAAAACTGTCCTGCATGCCACATACGCACCGCAGCATGTGCACATGTGCACAGAACACAACCTAGAAACATGATAAAACGCCAGTCTGAGACCTGAAGAGTGAACAGCAGCGGGGACCGCGGATGGAAGCCAAAGGTGGTGACATGAGCTGTGCGGAAGTGAGTCTCTCACCTCCCTTCCTTCCTCTCTCCACTGTCACTGCTGATGTTGGCATCTGTTGGCTGTACAATCACGTGGGAGACCGAGAGAACGCACCCTGCCTGTGTGTGTCATCGTCCCACGGGCACGGATGGAAGGAGGAGGGACAGGGAGAAAGCCAGGTGGGCACCAGCCTGCACCTCCTGACATGGTGTCACCTAGTTCATGCTCCCGCTGCCACCACAAGCAATCTTGAACCCAGTGTTCTGAAACTATGAGCCAAAACACATCTTCCCTTCTTCCTTCCTGTCAGGTACTCCGGTCACAGCAACATGAAAGTAACAAGAACCTAGTCACGCACAACTCAGACAAAGTCCCTGGTGAGCGGGATGTTCTGGAGGGAAGGCCAGAGTGAGAGGACCAGACCAGGGAGCTTTGGCTTTGTGATAAAGACATACAGGTCTCAGCTTAGTCACGCACCGCCTGCATGCACAAATGGGCTAATCCGGACATGAAGGCACAGAGAACTGGACTGAGGTTGAGCACAGATGTGACCAGACACAATTACCATTCTTGACTTAATCAATCTCCAGAAACTTATGGAAGGATCCAGAATCTGTATGACAACATTCGCAACATCAAAGATGCAATCCTAAACTACAGGACATGTAATTAACAGGAAAATGTGAAAAGATCAGGGAGAGGACTCTAGGAAAGACCAATAAAAAACATCTTATGCAGACATTCAGAGCGGGCACTGTAACACGCATCCTCCGGGGGTAAAGCAACACTCAGTGTGGCCACTGTAACTGGTATACGCCAGTGGGTAAAGGACAACACAATGCAGTGGTTTTGAGGGTGATGGAAATAGAAATGCTCTGCTTTCTCAATTACCCTGATGATTTTATGAGGGATGGTTAGTACTAATGCCAACTCGACGGGATCCAGACCCACTTAGGAGAAGAGCTTCAGGCATGTCTGGTTGGGGCTCTCGAGATTGGGTTAGCTGAGGTAGGAAGACTCACCCTAAAGGTGAGCAGCACCATCCCATGGCTGGGGCCCCGGACCGCATCAAAGGAAGAACGCAAGCTGAGCACCAGCGTTGGTCTCTCTCTGTTTCCTGACCACAGGTACAACGTGATCAACTGTGTCACACCCTGCCACCATGCCTTTGGACTGCACCCTCAGACTGTGAGCACAGATAAACCCTCCTGCTTTAAGGTGTCTTTGTCAGGTGTGTTGTAGAAGCAACACAGGAATTGATGAATGAAGACACACATACAGTCACACTGATAAAACTGTCCACCTACATATCCATGCACCTCCTACACACAACACACACAGCAAAGTGTGTATTTTACCGCAGAGATAGCTCAACACAGCTGTCAGGGAGAAAAGGGAGATTAATCACGCCTATGCCACGCACAAGGTGAGTGTTGTTACCAGCCATTTAGCAGGCCGGGACAGCGAGGCTCAGAGAGGTGAAGTAACAACTGCCCAGGGTCAAAGTTAATCCAGAAACCCACAGCTGACTTTTATATGTTTTAATAAATTCAACAGAACATTTGCTCTGATTGTGAGTATTTCATGGTGTGTATGTGTGTTTGTATGGGCATGAGCAAGTGAGTGTGCAGATGCACGAGTGTGCACACATGTGCGTGTGGAGGCCAGAGGTCAACTTCAAGTGTCTTCCTTGACTGAGCTCTATGTTATTTTTTGAGGTAAAGTCTCTCGCTGGGCCACGAGGCTCACCAATTAGGTTAGGCCAACTGATCAGCAAGTCCCAGAGATCCACCTGTCTTTACACCCCTCCAGCACTGGATTATGGGTTCACCACCTCACTCAACGTTTCCATAGGTTCTGGGGGCCCCATCTCAGGTCCGCATACTTGAGCAGCAGACACTTTACCAACTGAACCTTCCTCCCAGTCCCTTCAATGAATGTTTGTTGTTTTTAATTTCAAAGACTAAAATAGCTCTTCATCTGAAAAAATATGACCTTGACTCTACTTAACCAGTGAAGTTATTGGCAGGATTGAACAAAGTATATCTCTAAAATAGTTAAAGCCCTCCATGATTTGTGATATGTAAATACATGGATTTTATTGGCCAGTCACACATTACAGGTTGTGTATCCCATGTCTGAACTAGTTGGTAGTGTTTACAATTTGAGATATCTGCTGTGCAGTGGTGGCCCACACCTTTAGTCCCAGCACTCGGAAAGCAGAGACAGATGGATCTCTGTGAGTTCCAGGCCAGCCTGGTCTATAGAACTAGTTCTAGGATAGCCAAGGCTACACAAAGAAACCCTGTCTTGAAAACAAAAAAACAACAAAAAGATTTAAGGTATTTTTAGATTGGGAATAAGCTTCCGTATGCACACACACAGATACACATGGCTGTGCACATATACAGATACATGTATGCATACACACATACACACACACACACACACACACACACACACACCTGCACACAAGATATGTTGGGGACTCTACAAGTCTAAACAAGAGGTTTACTATGTTTCATATATGAAATATTAGACATATTTTCCAAAGGTAATTTTTAAAAAAACATTGTGACTATCTGCATTTTGACTACGACCTGCCACAGGAGGTCCATTGCACATTTTCTCACAGAATTTCACATTCTTGATAATTTCACCTTTCTGTTGATATGGTCTCAACTTGTGTTACTTTCCTAGTAAAAGAGAAGACACTTCTCCTTAAGTAACAGACTCCAGAGAATGTCCATTCTAACCTCCTCTTTTTTTACAGGGCAAGTCTCAGAGATTCAGAAGCAGCAGCCCACATTGACGGTGTTGTACGACTTAACTTACTGATATAGTTCACGGAAGGCATGATGTGACCCTACACCATAACCGGTGGTGTCTTTAAAACTCAATGTTTATTATAACCTCACAGCACAAAATTATGTAGTCATTTCAAAAGTTACAGAAAAAGTATTTCAGTATATAGAGATATGGTCAAAATAGGACTAACATATCATTACAAAACATTAATCTACTAATATATATATATGTTTTTTTTTTTCCAAGACAAGGTTTCTCTGTATAGTTATGGTGCCTGTCCTGGAACTCTCTCTGTAGACCAGGCTGGCCTCGAACTCATGGAGATCCACCTGCCTCTGCCTCCTGAGTGCTGGGATTGAAGGCGTGCGCCACCACCGCCTGGTGCAGTAGCTATTTTTAAGATGAAAAGTGATAGCCGGGCGGTGGTGGCGCACGCCTTTAATCCCAGCACTCGGGAGGCAGAGGCAGGAGGACCTCTGTGAGTTCCAGGCCAGCCTGGGCTACCAAGTGAGTCCCAGGAAAGG